TATATGGTATGTATACATGGCGCTTCGATCCAACTGTTTTGCTTCGGTCGCACCACCCACCAACTCACGCCAGGCTGGCTGAAATCGGCAGCAGAGGAATCTGCCCGACTGGCAGCTTGGCAACTGGCAGCAGCTCACCAGCTGGTCCTGATTTGGTAGGGCGATTTTAGGCAGAATTACCGCATAGTTGACAGTTTGATGTTATTTTTGCGGGGGGCGGGCAATTATCACCTATATCGTAGAGCAAACAACTTGCCAAAAAGCAGGCAACACAATATATCATGTTTGCCGACCACATCACCATTGGAATGGCCAACAGCCTTTCTGGCCGAACCGCCTGATGGCCCAAGACCGCCGCCCGTTCCGCTGCTGGGTTCTGCTGCCAGGCATCGAAGCTGTCCATGGTCTACTTGAACCAAGTCCGAACGTTGGACGTCCTTCTCCAAGCGGAGAAGGCAGACGAGACGTCCGACGTCCAGGGTGGAAAGGATGCGAAAGGCATGTGTGAGGCACCGGCGCGGGAGGTATGGTAGCGTTTGGTGTCCTATGGGATGCGTAGTGTTGAAATAGGATGAATTAGGTTCTAGGCTAGTATATATATAGGTCCTGTTGTGAGCTGAGAGTATGGTAATGCGTGGTATGTCTCCTGTTTAGAGCTGAAATCGTGGATTCTCTTGGGTTTGAACTCTTGGTGTTTCGTCCCAAGAGTTTGTTCGTGAAACCACCCACCATGCTAAACCACCGGCCATGTGCCGGCTGGCTCGGATCCGTGGCAGGAGATGTTAGCGCCTTTGCTCGCAAAAGTGGTGTTCAAGAAGAACGACAGCATCTTGAGATTCGGCGAGGAGGTGTGCCATGCCATGTGCCGATCTTTGCGACATACACACCGTAACATACCCAATGGATGGCAAGCTGATGCGAAGATGAGGAACTTGAATTCTGGAAACTGAAATCCTTGGACCTATTTATCTGACACTGGAGGACATTGGTCTCTAAGAAACAAGATCTTGAGTCTTGAGCAATCAATGACAGTGTCAGAAGGGGTTGGCCTGATGATTTTGTTAGTTACAAGTTTTGTGTTAGGTTTCTTTTGGGAAATGTTTGGCCTTGCTCCAGTTGATTTGTGGAACATCTCCAGTTTTTTCCGCAAGAAAAGTAATCGGTCCAGTAACGGGTCCATCAGACCTGATTGACTCAGTGATGGCTCGCCCCGCACTCCCTTCGTCTCATCCGGTCACCCTCGTCACCGGCTGCCTGCTCGTCTGCACAGGAGACCTCCATGTATATCCTGGCCGAGGGCACCGTTCGTGTGGAAGACGACAAGGCTAGCCTGCCAACGGGTCGTTGGCCGGTTAGGGTCGTGGCCGAGCCCACTGGGTGAGCTTGGGGGCACTGAGTGAGGAGGAAGGAAGGTCACTGTGTTCTTCTCAGGCCAGTTGAAGTAGAAGATTGGCTGTGGAAATGTTTGAATCATTCTGGCGTTTATACTGGGACCTTGAGCCACATTTTGCCACTGAATTCCTTCAATTTATGAATGACGTGACTCCTTTGGACATGGAAAGTTACTGTTTTTCTGAGAATTGGTCCACTTGCCAGCTTGCTCTATCCCAAAGCTCCAGCTGCCCAGAGGAGTCTCCTAGCACCAAGACGTGAACACTTGAAACCAAAGACGTCCACAGGACCCGGAACTCGGAGACCGTCGTGTGGAGACCTCGTCCAACACCAGACGGTCCCCCGGGCGGACGGCGGGCCTCGCAGGTCGTGGAGTTGGAGGCCTACTTGACGGAAAACCAGCAGCACCTGGTGGTGCACACCTTTGGCGAGAGAGCCTTTTGACTATGAACTTCGTGCGACGGATGGACGGTGAGGAATTGGAGATCGATATTTGCCCTGCAGTTGTTTTTTGCTCAGCTGCTATGATTGAAATGTGGTTTAAGGCTTCGGGTGTAGTACAAGTAGGGCGGAGCAAGTCAGGAAAACCAAAAGCAATGAAGCTTCGCAAACCACGAAGTAAAGATATGCAGATATGCAAGGATGGGGGAGAGTTGCAAAAGACAACCAATTCAGGGAATGTCGCCCACTGAGGGTCTACACACGTCCATCAACCTACAAATCTGTCGATTTTGGTCGGATTTTGCGATAGGATCTCCCTAAGTATTTTTTCTGAGCCTTTCTGAGTGCCCTGAAGCGAATTCCGCGCGCAAACATCGGCCCGGGGTCCTCGGCGACTTGAGGCGCTCATCGGTGATGGCTTTAACAGCGACATGCGCGGAAGCTCAGACGGGTCATTGGTGGCGGGAAGGTGGCAGGAAGAATCTGAAGAGGGGACTGGTCGGACCTGAAGCTTTCTAAGAGTCAGAAGTTGTTTTGTTGGAGTCTTAGTAAGTAGCCATTGCTGGATGCGTTTGTTTGCTGAAAGAAAAATAAGGCAGCTGCTCTGACAAGGAACTTCCAGGAACTAGGAACTGGAGCTTTTCTTTGGCGTTGGCGGGTTAGAATGCGTCTCCACCTTCCACCAACCACTGGTATGGTCCGGTGTTGTTCATTGGATGGTCCTCCAGGACCAAGTGGGAGTGCCTGTTTCCTTCGTTTCGCAGGAGCGTCAAGATCAGCTCGCCGGAGGCTACCTGCTATCGCCTGGACGGTGAGCAAGCCGCACCAAGGGGAAGGGGGAGGGATGGTGGTAGTGTTGGGGGTGGGCAGATTGAGAAGGTGAGGGTGGGTTTGTAGCAAGCAAGGTAGTTTGAGGCGTCATGAACTGAACTGTGCACTGGAAGAAACAGGCTCTTGCTGCAGTTTCCCAATTTGTGTGGGGAGGGAATCATTAAATTCCCCCTAAAACTGCCATGTGTTTGAAGTTGGGAGGACTGAACCCAAATGATCGATCACTAGTATCTCAAAGTTTGAGTGACAAAGAACGTTGATACAACCTGGAAGAGAAAGACACTGGCGCATAGTTTTACAGGAGTGTTGACATAAGTGTTATAAGTGTTACAAGAAGGACAACAGTAACTACATACTGTTACCAAGCGGATTTGCTACAGTAACTACATACAGTTGTTACAGTTACCAAGATTCCACACCAAGCTGATCTTGCTTTGAACCATTGTTGAACATCGATCATGGACTCTCTCACCGTGGTATTCCCATCCCTGCTGCTGGGCGAGATGGGATCCAGTTGGGACCGTCCCATGTCTACAAATGAGCACAGCGGACGTTTACTGCTTACATTTGCTTACCTGGTTCCTTTACTTGAATGGGGCTTGTCCCAGAAACCTGTAACCGTCGGCAAACTGTTTCTTATTTGTCCCTAATTTTTAGAGAAAAGGCCTGCAACTGAACCATCGTCCACGGTTACTGGTAATTTTTAATAGGATAGACCCAAACTTGAAACGTCATGGAGAAAGGGTAGGGTAGATCCCAAATCTGCAGTGCCTCAGCTACTGTCACAATTCAGACATTGATTCCAGTGTATCAACTTATGTAACATGTATGCACAACATTGCACAACATATTCAGTCCTTCATCCTTCAGGTGTGCCACGATGTGTATCGCCTCCTTTCTCCTAACCTCCTTTCTCCCCAAACGCTCCCCGCGCCTGACCAGGTGTGGATTTCATCTCCATGCTGGGCTCCATCGAAGAGATCCTCCAGCAGAGCCGCAGGCGACACAGCAGCCGACGTGACCCGTGACCCGTGACGTGACCTGTGCAACGAACGTCCGTGACGTCCCGAGTGACTCAACCAGGCATATAGGGACAGGTGTCGACCCTTCAATATTGGTACATGCCACATGTCACAGGTCATGTCACCGACCTTGTGGTGTTTTTTGGCGTAGACAACATAGTACCAGACAGCTCCATGGTGGATGAATCCCCTTTGCTCCCCCCATGTGTTTTTCTCCTTGACTCGGCCCAAAGACTGGGCGCCAAGACGGAAGGTGCCCACGCGAAAAGCGATGCGACACGCGATGCGATGAAACGCGATGAAACAGCGGCTGAGGGGGCTGGACTTCCAGGGTTTGGACACTGATGCGCCGATGAACACCTCCCGCCTGGTACAGTTCCGGAAGAAGGCTGAGCCGTGCGTGGACGAGATCAATGGTTCGGCGTCGACGGATCATTGTGGATCCCGTTTTAGGGGCGGCTTTTGTGTCTAGGTTGAACAGGAACAGAAAGGACCTGTAGTAAATTTGATTGATGTGGCTACGGGCAGTTAGGACTTGACATCGGATTCACCTTGACAAACCTATGTGGCAAACAGATCCTTCACCCCTCGCGTGCAGGATATCTATGGATATCACTCGTACTCATCGAATGTGTTGCATCTCAGATGGTGCAACAGCAACCGCCTGGGACCTTTTTCCACCATGTACTATTGTAGCATCTGTCATGCTAGAGGTTTGGTGTTCGCAGAACCTTTTGACGCACCATGCCTGACCCAAAAAACATTCTGCTGCATAGACATCATAGACCCTCCACAAAACGAGCCAGCAAATTCGTCGCTCCACTTGGGTCTCCGTCGCTCCACCCCAGCTCCGTCGCTCTTTGTTTTCATCTTCACCCGCAGGACCTGCAACGGGTGTCCTTCTTGCGAGCGGGGCAGTTTGGCAACCTGGAGTTGTGGTGCCACACCCTGACAGGCACATCGGGCGGGCGGAATCCGGCCGCACGCGCCGCGCTTGCTTTCCGTCGTTTGGGTCTCCGAAGCCCTGCAACGCATCATGAGTTTTTCCTTAAGGGGGCTTTATGATGCTTTATGTAGATGAATTGATTCGATGTCAAAAAGGGAGGTATGAAGTTGAATCATTAAATGCTATAGATGCCTGGATAGCATACAAACAGCCAAACGGCACTGGTGCTTGTAAAAACGCCTGACAGATCATCTTGCAAGATGTCCAGAAGAGCATAGCTATGCTATGCGAGATCTCGCCAAGACAGTCAGCGCCTGACATGCACTCCATCCTTGACCAAGGTTTGGTCTGTCTTGACGTCACTTGGCTAGGCGTGCAATACATGGTGAAAGCAGTGTCCAAGGGCTACATCATGGAGCAAGGCTTGCAAAAGAAGATCATCCAGGAGCGATGCACAGTCGAAACACGACATGTTTGCCCACAATGGCCCAGGTGCAAGCCACGGAGCAAACCACCATGACGCCCACGATATGTGTGAACATGTGTTTCTACTGTATGGGGTTTGTTGTTGTGCATGTGCTGTAGTAGCTGGGTGTGTGCTCAATAGCGTCCTTAGGGCAAAGTCTACGGTGGGGTGTCATTCTGGAACCTCCTTCGTTGGTATTTAGATTTGAACGGTCGCTCAGAAGATCGCGGTCAAAACAGGAAACGGCTGGTAACGGCCAAATGTATGACCGGGTGGGGGTTTTCGGATGTTTTGATGATTTTGATGTTCAACCTTAACTTGGGATGATTCATCCTGACTAACAGTATTCAAGTGACTTGAAATCACCGCATGAGTTGAAATCACTAAGTCGAGACATCGAAACCGCCAGCCCGCCAGCCCAGACTGAACTGGTCCGTTTGAGGCTGGTGAAAAGATGTGCGAACTTGTAGCATGCAGCCATTTCTTGTAGGGAGCGATTTACTGTAGAATTTATCAGGGTTTGCTCTAAGACTGAGGTGGCCTAAGGCCTTGAAAAGAAAGACCAACAGTAGAGCCAAGCTTGGGACAGCGGGACAGCAGCAGACGAAGCGCAGAATCAAAGGGAGACACGCACCAAAGCCCCGCAAAGGATCCAAACAATCCATGCCATTTAGCATAGTTCAAACTTCCAGAGGTGAGGCGCAAACCTCAAGCCACAAGCACTGCAACATCCTTGCATAACAAGGTGCAACAAAGAGACAGACGCAATGACTCAAACCAGTCATGAAACGTCTAGAATTGGTTGCGCAACACGGGCATTTCCAAAAATTTCCTCATGTAAACACACTGCTGAGTTTCCGGAACCTGTGCTCCAGAAAGAAAAATCACCCTATGGTGAGGAGCGGGATATCATGATGATGCTGGACTCCTCCTTCACCATTTCCCTCTTTCAGACCTTCACAGGCAGCGGCGTTTTCTTCAAACTCACCCAAATGGGGAGCCATTGAAAAAATAACAACATATTTATAGATATATACTCAGTATATTATATGTATATAAACATAAATAGATCACTATACATATAATATAGTGCACGCATATAAATCAGTATTGAGGGGGAAGCCATTGGGATGCTGTGAGCACAAAAGCGGGTGCTTTTAAAAAATATCGCCAGGTGAGCAGATGCTGTACTTCCTCATGGAAACTGCCCTTGGAGGAGATCTTTACACTGCCTACCTGAAGAATGCCCTCCACGGCAGCCTGTCTAGACGAAGTTTCGGCGGGTGGGGACTGGGAGGGTTGGGTTTTCCTGTGTGGCGTAAGGAATCCGTTTGTTTGGGTTTTATGATGTGTTTACAGATGCAGGTGCGTCGTGAGACACTAGCCTTCATGCCGGCAAAAAACACGTTTACAGTTTTATCTGGTTTATCAAGAAAGACACTAGGCAACAGAAGAATAGGCTAAACCATGCTAAACCACTTTAAGACCTTTGATTGGAGAGTCTCCCCGTTTTGATATGGCAGGCTTTACACGGAGCCTCACCAGTTGCAGGAAAGGGTTGGGAGGAGACGGTGAAGAACAATTTGCACTCTGAGCCAGAGGGTTTGAAATCTGAGCACCAAATCTGAACACTCCACTGATGGTCCTACACCAAACTTTTGGAACTTGTGGGAGTTTGTGGCATTGTGCGAACACAACATCGTGCACCACCTGATTCGCTGCAAATACCATTGACAAAGAGGATGAAAAGAGTATAGTCAATGTGCTGGATCTTGCAGCTAACAGTTTCCACCTAGTTCTTCGAGCAGCTCTTTTGACATTGTTGCACTACTGGACTAACCGCTCCCACTTGATGAAGCTGCCTCCAAACCAGCACACACTTTACACCAGCATTTCTTATCATTCAGCCTATAGCCATACCTACCTTGAAGTATACCGATTCGAGCCCGCGCAGGCCGTTTTCAGTTCAGCCGGCTTGAAGCCGGTGCAGACGTGCCCCCGCCAGGCTCTCAGCGCCACGCCGTCTTCTATTCGGCGCTGGTGGTCTTGGCACTGGAGCATCTCCACGGGAAGAAGGTCGCCTACCGGGACGCTCGGGCGAACTGTGCCGACGAACGTGCCGGTGGTCGTTGGCTGGAGATGGAACACATTTCGATACGTATTTCCAGACAGGTGAAGCAGGCTGCCATGGGAATATGAAGATGCCCATTCACAAAGATACCATGGCTTACCCTTCCTGAAACCCAGAGGGTCAAGAACCATTCTGAGGTCTTTGTTGGCTTGACGGTGTCCATCATCGGAACACTATGTGGAAGTGACAAAGGATTGACCATGTTCCTGAGAAACTGGTTCCCCTTCATGTCTACTTTGATGTACCTGAGTGTCAACCTTGCCATTTGCGTGTGCATCCATGATATTGATCAGCGACCATGAATCACGTGAACATAGTTCTGGTGTAGCTGGCAGCCACTCAGCGAGCTCCAGAAACTGGGGCACTCTCAATTCATTGGCAATGTGGGTGTGATGCCAATTGGCTACATTAAAGTGCAATCAATTCTCGAGTTTTGAGGTACTGTAGTTTCTCCCCGCGATTTTGCGGGTTTTGCTCAGGATCTGAAGCCGGAGAATGTCTTGCTGAGCTCCACCGGCTACGTGACCTGGAGATGTTAGGAGAGTTCACCATTTGCTTGTACCTCTCCTAACATCCTATCATCTCCTTTTCTTCTCCTAGATGGTCTTTTTGCAGACGTTGATCCCTATCACACCAGATATCCCGGAGATCAAGACTGTGTGTGTGTTGGCTCAATGCTTCGGAATCGGAAGATGCTTCGGGTGTACCAGACGCCGCACCGGTGTTTTTTTTGGTTTGGTACATGGATCTCGTGTATGGTGTACTGTACCAGATCCGTTGTACATGGTGTATGTTCAATCGAGAGCTGAGCTGAGTTCTATGGAGCTGAGCTGAGTTCGGAGCGAGTTCTCTCGTGGTTTCCCCATGTGGATCCAGTCCTTTTTCGCCTCCAGTAGCACCTCGTTGTGCCCTCTGAGGTGAAGCTGGTGGATTTCAGCCTGGCGAAGGTGGTGATCGGAAGGAGCTGAAAAAAGGGGAGCGGTCGCACAGTCCCAAGGGGGGGAGGGTTGCTTCAAGTTGGTGACCTTGCAATGGATTTGAGAAAAAAAACAATATAGATTGGTGCAATAAAAGGTACATTGCAGCTGGATCTCATATTGATCTTGCAATCCATGAATGTTCACATTCTTCCGGTCAAGGACATTTAAGCCACTCCTGAAGTGCAACTTCAGGACTAGTCAGGCGGATGGACTCCACTGGAGAGATGTGGAAATGAACTTTGAAGCACGGTATGATGCTTCCTAACTGCTACTGCAAGAGACTCTCGGCCCAGGATGACCAGGATGACCAGGTGTCCATTTGTACCAGCTGACGAGTTGAATCATTTGGTCAGCCCACCAGCCCACCGGCATCTCATCTCGACAAAACCTTCGCCCACCGTGCTTTCACGGGTTCAGCAGGTGGGAGAAGATGCGAGACATGAGGCTCTCCCGGCCTTGGCAGAGCATTCCAGATCGAACTGGTGCCCTGCTTCACGCTGGGTGCCCCCAAATCCATGGTCACTTAGCACAAACCCTCCCTCAGACAGTCATGGACAAAATGGAGCAGAACCCCCCTGGTGGATCCAACCGGATCCAAAAAGGGTCTTTCACGGGCCGAAGTGTTCTGCACTACCACTACTTATACTGATAATATATGATCATATGTTATAATGATATGTCTTTATATATTGTGATATGTCTACTTGTTTACTTATATTATATATTGTTTAAACAAATAATGATATATGTCTTTATAATGATATGTCTACTTATCTACTTTATAATATCTTATACTATCTTACTATATATCCTATATATATTTCTCATGCTATATCTCTACTTTGAGCCAAGACCTACACCATCAGGACCTACACCATCGTCGGCACGCCCGAGTACCTGGCGCCCGAGATGATCGGCGTCTCCGGTCACAACCAGGCCGCAACGGGGTGGAACGAGGTGTGCCAAGCGAGCGGAGAAAACAGGCGCCGGACGCGAGAATGGAGAGGTCAGATGGGATGGAGGAAACGCCTGGGCCTGACATGTCTCCTTAATTGTGAGGGAATCCAAAGTCAATCTGTTTCTAGGGATTCTGTTTTTTTGGTGGAGTTCTTGGCAGACTGACACCAATTCCCCAGTTCGAATACCGGATGGAATTCCAGTTCGATGTACAGTACTTGGTCCATGCCCCGCATGGCCGACACCACGATTCTGGACAGAAGCATTGAACATAAGACTTTTGTCCAGCCAGTTGTGATAGACAGCCTTTGTAAGGTGTCCTTTGCCTGGATATTGTTGGATACTTGGTCATCCAGGTGTGTATAGTTTAATATGGATGTTGGTTGGTCTATTTAATTGCTTCTTCCAGGAAGTCAACCTGGGAGGTCTCCCTATTTGAATACACACCCATACAGACCTGTCCCGCAAGGCAGTGGACTGGTGGGCTTTGGGAATCTTCATCTTCGAGCTTTTGTCAGGCGACCGTGACAGTTGCTGTGCAGTTGAGCGTAAACGCCTTTTTGACCAAACTTGGAAGTTGGCGTCATTCAAACATTGCACAATGCAGTTCAAGAGCGTATTTAAGTTAATTGGATAGGCTCAAGTGATATGGTTTTGTGGCCGGTGATTTGGAGTAGATGTTGGCATGGCTGTTGCTTTGGGTCGTGTATATCATGGATTAGGTTGTTTGACACACTACATGTCATAGATTCATTTGCATGCGGTTGGTTGTTATACACGGCGAGCAAAGTGTGAACACGGTGGTTCATTTGTCACATGCAGTCTTACCGTTAACACAATGTGGCATGGGTGTTCAAGAAGGGAGTACAAACGTTGTTGATCGCTTGACCTCTTAATCAAAGTGTTTTGCACTTTGATTGCTTTCGCGCATCGTCTTCGCATCATGAGAAGACCTCCTTTCCGCCCCACGCGGGACCAGCGTCCTCCATCCAGAGATCAGCGCGTCATGTGTTCATCACCGGACACTGAAGGTGGTTTGCAACTAGAGAGTGCGAGGCTCATGAAGCATCGGATCTGAGGATCTTCTAGACTGGCGCCACAGAGTTCTTTTTTGGTATATTGGGACGCAGGGCAGAAGGGACTTCGGAATTTGGGGGTTGTGGTCCTCCAATGAGATCAACCCTTGGACCACGCTTTCTTTCGTCCTTGCTCCGGCATGCGCCACTGGTACAAGTTCACCGATTCCACCACCGTTCCCAAGAGGTGGACCAACTGGGAGGTCGTAGAGTCCAAACGCCGGCCACCTGGCTTCGCCACCTGCCCGACCCCTGACGAGCTCCCCTCCCGTCCCGGGGGTGCAGGTCAGACGCCCTTCGAAGGGTCCAACCCCATGCAGCTCCTTGGCTTCGGGGCAGCTCGCGGTGCTGGCAGAATCGGAAGTCCAGTTCGACACTGTTTGTGGCAGTACCCAAGGAAAGGAGAAATTCTCAGGATGGGGTCACCGAATCTGTACCAAAAGAATCCAAAAGACCATTTCTTTAGATTAGTCTTGGACTTTCAGGGGGAAAGCCTGAACCTTCAGTTTGCACCTGCCAGTCCATGGGGCTATTTTCGGCTATATGGGCCTGATGTCGCCGCACTGCAGTAGATGTCTGAGACTTTGGGTTTGATTCTTATCCAGCGCAGCCACAGATGATTGGCAGACTCTTTGAGGTCAACCACAAGATTGGGGGTATGATCATGATGTTACGAAGATGAAGTATCACCTCAGTGCTTTGATCCCATCCGGGTCCGCGAGTTGCTGCGGACACATGTTAAGGACCTTCTCCCAGTCCCAGGTGGTTTGGGGGGGGCGAAGGAGGCCCACAGGGCACAGACGCCGTTGGTACCGGCGACCGGTGTTCGATACCTAGACCGGCTTGTGCCCAGTGTTCGAGTGGATCAGATAGTCCCGATCACCTGGCACAATGCCGCTCAGGACCTTTGGAAAGACCATGGCCGGCGTGGAAAAGGTTACCTTCTCCTCAAAGGCCTTGGGGAGTGAGGGGTTCCTGCTGCGAGCGAAGATACAGATGCACTGGTGAGCTGCAAAACATGGACAGTATCGAATTGTATAGATATGGTATATGTATGTATACAGTAGGTATCCATTGATTTGCTTCTTGAGGAGTTTAGGAAAAGAAAGCACTTTTGTCACTTCCCTTGCTTTGCTGCGTTGAGCATGGTTTGTTGAAGCAGGCCCTGCTTGCTTTGGAATAGCAGTGAATTTGGCCTCCCAACCAGTTTGGCAACCGATGCTGGTGATATGCAAAAGGTAAGCAAAAGGTGTCAATCCTCATGCTCAGTCGCTCCCAGGCAGGTTCCTCTCTTGGTCAGCCATCCTTAATGAGCACCCCGTTTGTGTGCAAAGATGAGTTTTAGTAGAGACTTGGTGTGTGAACTCATGAACTGTTACCTTTGATCCCGAACATTAAGATTTCCTGCAACCTTCTTCTTCAAACACATTTCGTTCATTCCAGACTTCTTATGAGCTGGTTTTGCTGGATGAAAGCTCACCAGGTCAGCTCCGGAGCACGGCGGCTGATCGAGGCAGTGTTTTTTCAGTTTTTTTTTTCTGGGCGAAGTGTTTGGGTTGCAGGTGGTACTTTGACTCTACACCTGGCGTAAAAATGTGAAATAACTGAGACATACTGACACTCTGAAGCAAAGGCGTATCAGAAACATGGACTGGGAAGATTCCGACACCTGATTTAAGGAGACAAAAGGAGAGCCCCCTGTCAAGTGAGCATATAAGCAGAGTAGAAGAGGCTGACCACATGGATCCAGGCTTAGTCGTGGCGCCCCCTGTCGAGTGCCGGTCGTGCCAGGGCCTGCTGAAGCGCTCCCCTGCCTTTCGCCTTGCCATGAAGAAAGGCGCCCCAGTCGCGAAGCAAGCGACTGTCGTCTCAGAAGCGCGTCATCTCAGACTCCAAGATGCTCCTGGTGTGGGGAGTCATGGACCATCATGGACGACCAAATACCACAAATGAAGCGTTGGTCCTACATGAACCGTTTGGCACCCCTTGTTAGAGGTATCGACACAGCAGGTGATTAAACCGATTGCTCATCATGTTCGTGCAGTTGATGAAGGTATCATGGGCGTAGACTTTGAATCAGGATAGCTGGTAGGAAGAAAGGCCCTAAATTAATCATCCCGAACCCAACTCACAAACACCCAGAGCGACAACCCTGCACCTGACCCCATCAGAAACGTGCATGTCGCGCACGGGGCAGGTGGAGTGCAGAATGTCAAAGATGCTGATTGGTATGGAGACGTAGATTGGAGCCTGTTGGCAAGGTTGGCATGGCAAGTGAGCAATGCTTTATGATTCACGAGTCCATCTATGTCCATCTCAATTACTTCACTGACAGGTCAATGACCGAAGATATGAGTCGCTAGCCAGTGACGGTACCACCACTCCGCGCCGTGCTTTTGGTCACCTGGAGCTGCCGGCTGCCTAGGAAAGCTACAGATGCAAGCCGAAGACGCGCCCTTGAAAGGCAGCGCGGGCTATTGTGCTTGTAGCTTCTCGGAATCGCTCTTTCTCCATGCGATGCTCAGAAAGAGAGTACCGGTCTCTCATCATGATTCCTCCATACCTGCCTCACGAACCTGTGAAATGTGCATGACAATGAAGGCTTGTACCCATGCGGAGGCCATCGCTATTAGGTTGGAGGCCATCGCTATTAGGTTGGAGGCCATCGCTATTAGGTTGGAGGCCATCGCTATTAGGGTGGAGGCCATCGCTATTAGGGTGGAGGCCATCGCTATTAGGGTGGAGGCCATCGCTATTAGGGTGGAGGCCATCGCTATTAGGGTGGAGGCCATTGGTATTGGGGTGGCAAGTGTGAGTACCCATGGAGGCTTGTCCATGGAGACCGCCAACTTCCATAGCCACGAGCAGCGGAAGGCGCCCTTCGTTCCCTTCGAGGCGGGGGCATGCGCCATGGATTTGTGTCGGTATCCAGCGAGCAGTTTTTCAACACAGGTATATCCAATGTATGTTATTTAGTTGTTTTTTGGTATACAGTAATTTTGATATAGCATGATATAGGTTGGCTGGAGCATTTTGCTAGCTTGCTCGCTGGCACAGATGATGAGTATGGGGCCAAGTATGGTCATTGACTCCTTCTACAGTACTGGGGCTGGGACACATGCCTCCCCGGTCGTCGGTGGTTCTCCTTGCTTGACCTGTCGACCTGTGCGGTTGCCGCGTCCAAGATGAACAGGTTCAATGAAAACCAACGAGTCTTCCAGTCCAAAGGCCCATTTTCAGCTTCCATGATGTTCCATGTATGTTAGTCTTTTGGGGGTGTATTGAATCCTTTGGCACAAGCCAATTTACTTCTCTCTGTGGAATTCACAAGAGTGGGGTACCATCAATAGACTGAAGATGACCGCTGTCAACCCCCTATGGCGGTGGAGGAACATGTTGTTTGATGCCAATGAGGGCATCCTCACCAGCATCTCACCAGCCATGAGGATGATGGCAGCGGCTGGGCGGAGGCTTTTGCCAGCTGGAACATGAAGTCAGATGCTGGGTTGCAGGGTCAGTCTAGCTTTGGAGGGGTTGCTCATCCAGGTAAGTAGGGTTTCAAGATGTTTCAAGTTCGATGGATGGAAGTGTGAATGATGCTCGAACCCACTTGTGCAGGGGACCAGGAGACCACTTGTAGAGGCGCCGACGCCACACAACTCTCATCAACTCTCCAACCCCAGAGAGCTTTGGAAGGGGTTTGATCCACCTAGTGTGAAAGGCACCCGATCAGGTGCTTTTGCTGATGAAATATCATGAGTGATCATCCGACCGAACGAGCCGAATGTTCGGCGCGCTGGCTGGTGTTCCAATCCAGCAGCTCACACGCACAACAAACAACGAACGGCGAGTAGTAGGCGAGTAGTGCAGCTCAGGCGAGGGACTTGTCCGTTCGGCACTTGGCCCAACAACCAGGCTTCCGCACTGACCGAGTTACATCGATGGTTTCCTATGCACTACTTTCCAAAAACCTTGGAATTGCCTTCATGGACCCATTTTTGCGATGCACGTCACTGGGAAGAGGGGAACCGTCTTCGGGGTTCCCGGGGTCCACGCGTCTCTGCAGCGAAACGAGCATCAGCGTCGTAGCTCAGCTAACTCACGGCTCGTGGCGGATGATGTGTTTTGTTTGATCTATTGGCATATCTTGACATGTGTTTGCTCATGTGTTTCTTCTCTTAGTTGCTTGTTTGCTGGCTTGCTTTGCATTCCAGCTTGTTTGATTATTGGGCTTTTGTCTCCACCATATTATTCCACTGCACAATGATTGAGCCAGCCCTTGCAGCTCTTGCCGCTTGCCGAGGAAAATGTGGAGTTCTGAGAAATGCTGAGGCTCTTGCCCTCAAGGATGTGAGTACTAAAGCATATGTTCGGACAAGACCTTCAACTTGAAGATACGGTCATAAAATGCAGAGATGACCATACACCTGAGCAGCGTGCAGCGTAGCGTATGTTGACAACAAGATTTCATCGAGGCTTGCAATCCTGTCAGCAACAACACTCTACACACAAGGTGGCCTTTTTGGGCATTTGATATGTTGCCATGCCCTCAAGTCAGTGGGGGATGAAAGAGGATGAAACACTTCGATGCACCACATCAGATCAAGTTTCTCAGTGTTCTCAACATGTCTTACCACTTAGCTGACCATGGCAACAAAAGCTTCAGAAGGCTCCTTGTGAGTCAGACGGGCTGCCTGAAGGCCCACCAGGTTTTGGTGGTCGGCAAGTCGATCGCCCAAGAACATCGTAAGGCACCAAAGCTTTGTGCCGAACACCGAAAGCACACCCAGCTCAAAAGAAAAGGGATCCTGGTGATGCATTCGGTTCTTCCATTAGGACCAAGAAAGGAACAGAACGGGCGAAGCGGTGGCGGTTTGGTAGATGGGAAGGGGGAGACGGAAACTTGTTTGAAAGAGGGTCGAACGGGGTGTTGGTAAGCGTTCCAGGGCACGGTACGAAGTCACTCAGTGAGAAATGGGGATGTGAGCCTGTCGGGCCATGAGATTGACGGCTTTGATGGACTTGGAGCACTTGGAGCACTGAGGATGTTCTTGACGCAACGTCTTTCGGAGGAGCGACAGTAATTCTGTTGGGCTCATCCATGAAGAGAGCTAGGTTACAAAAGCAATTGGTCACGTCATGATGCCGAACGGTTACCTTCTCGTGGAGTTGCCAAGCCAAAGGTTGGGCCAGCCTGGTGGCCTTACCTTTGTGCGCGCGCGCCTTAAATCTGCATGTTTGGCACAGGGCCCCTCAACCTTTATGATGTTTAAGGCATTCAGCCTTAGAGGAGCTGGGCTGGTGGGCAGAGGCGGTTGTCAAGCCGGAGCCATCCTCACACCTGAATGGATTTGAGATTCGCCATCGACATTGCCAGAGTCCCAGTGTTCGGAGAAGCATGCTCTTCAATGCAGTTGTCAATCATGCAACTGGTGCATCATCGCGCTGGCTTGCAGACTGCTGTCTACAAAAAAGTTCGTTCATGTTCGTTCATGGCAGAGGTTCACTAGCTGTATAACTTGAGAAAGGAACATGGTGGAACTACAAAGGGGGTGACACGACATGATTGTGATTTTTGTGGCCTGTAGTCACTGTAGTCCCATAGATGGAAAGAAGAGGCACAAAGCTGAGCCGTTCATGCGTCCATTCAGGACCAGGCTGCTCAAAACCAGGCGAAGGAAATCTACCAGGGTAAGTGTGAGGAGAGCCGAAGGGGTCGAGCACTGTTGGCACTGCTGCTCCAAAGTCCCTACTTAAGACTAATCACTAATCATGTGTACTGGCAGGCTTTAGGGTCAAATCCTTTTGAGAGTGGTACCATGCGGTACATGGCCTGCTGATACTTGTTCTTCAGAACATGGCATCACCTGCTTTGCTGATACGTTGGCCTCTCAGACACCCAAACATGCACCCATGTTTTGACTGAAACTGATCAGCTTGGACTGAGGCCGCCGCCAAATTGATCTTTCCGGGAAGACCCTTCGCTTGCACTTGGAGTGAGGGGCACTGGAGCTGCAATTTCAACAGGGATCTACAGTGCTTTGGAGGCTTCAGTTCTTGGCCTCTAGATATACGTGTCTTGGTGCACCTTGAAATGAAAACACAAATGCGTGATGAAAGGCCTCCAGGGCTTCCACACACATGAGAACATGCATATTGTCTATCTCTCTCTCTCTCTCTCGATATATATATATATATAATATGTGTGTACATGTGAGCCGACTTAGGAAACCGAGCTATTGGCCTAAGTATGTGATCGATATGTTCCGATCTGCGAGTGACATGGCCGAAATGAGGACGACGTAGTGGGGATGCGGTTGCAAAGGATAGCACCATCCCAAAAATGAGGTACAACCTCTCGAATCCATGAGAATGAGATGTGTGATTGATTGCTGTCTGATGCAGATCTGATTTTTTCATACTTATTCCCACCTGCTGAGCTTGAGGTCTGAGTGAAAAGCCTTCCGGGCGTCACTTCCGCTTGCTTTGTGGCTCTTCACAAAAGCCGCACCCGGAGAAGGCCGGCTCGAAGTTAGGGCATCAAAATACGTCCCTGGCTGAAGTGGAGTCAGCAGTTTCAAACAGAGGCCTGTCATGATTTTTGGATCGGAGGTGGCATGAGAAAAGTACTATTCCATGCTTGGTATTGCAGGTATGACGTACCCAGGGCATTTTTATGAGATTGAGCAGACAGAAATGTATCATACATATCTTACTTCTCAATTGTGTGGCGCAGAGGCCTTGAACTCGACCCTGCGCGCCAAAAGCTGAGGCTTTGGGAGCGGCGATTGGCGGGCCATTGGGGGCATCACTGACTTCGATGCTCGTCGCCGCAAACGGGGCTGCAGCGCGCTTGGTCCCAAGATTAAAAGTGTCAGTTTCACGGTTAAAGTCAACGGGGCGGGTTCTCTCGCGATTGAAAAAATTGGTGCAGCCAGCCTGGACCACTTCTCAACTCCTGCGTCAGCTCAGGCATGCCTACCTCCGGACCAAAGAGAAATCTTGGTCACAATTCGATATATATATATAGTTAAGAAATTGTTGTATATATATAATGGAAATATATATATATATATTATTAGCCACTTCTATTTAGGTTCTATTAAAATAATGTATGATATTTTATTCTTGTTTGTTATTATGATTAGGTTGGGAACGGAATAGGGCCTCCATATAAACGATTTTTTTGATGACAATAATGTTTGGCCAGCGAATATACGATTATGTATAAGGAGAATTAAGGCATATGTTTTGGAACATATTTTAGAAACAACTATACACATACACATATGTAATGCTTCCTATTGCATAGGTTTTGGCAGCTCAAGTTTAGAGGGTGTAAGGTGTGTAGAGGCTATTTGCTTTTACGCATTGGTTGCGTTGCAATTCTACCTACGGGAAGAGCGCCGGTATTGTGAAGGAACCGCTGACAGTGTAGGAAGGTAAGAAGAGAGGTGCAAACAAATAGAACATTTGAGCGTATAACTAATGTTTCAACAAAAAGAATGATTGTTGAAGCCTGTACACAGGGGTAACCCCATCTTTGCTTCTCGATCTTATGCAGCAAATAAGGTTGAAAGAATTGTGGCCCACATTGTAAGAAGACGAACATCAACGATGGAGAAATTGGAGAAGCAGCAACGCAGAAGGAACATTCGAAAATATCGCGAACGAAAGCTGTAGTCCCTGGCTGCAGCGGAGCGAAGCTCCTCTTAACCTTCGAATTCCAGTGACAGTGATATTTACAACAAAAAATTGTGTGTGTTTGTGTGTGGGCTTAATTTCACAACACGAATTGTAAACATAATGAAATATTATAACATGACCTCCTACTTAAATAATCTAAACGAACTAGGATTCCCACATAATAAATAATCTATTGGAACTAAATACAAAATTAACTACAAAATTAACTCCACCGCGCATATATATATATATAGAGATAAATCTATTCTATAAATTTAAAGAATGATTTTTATAATTGATTGGATTATATTATTACCATAAGAAGCGTCTCCCTGTGACTGGGATTCTTCCATTTAAGGTCTGGGAT